AATAATCGTTTAATAAAAAAAAGTGTTACAGTAAAAAAAAAATTCATAACATATTTAACTAAAAAAATATCTATAAAATCCTAGCATAAAAAAAATAAAAATAAATAAATTTTAAACATACCTAACCAAAAATAATAAAATTGTAAATGTACCTAATATTATCTAAAAATTGGTGACCTTACCCTTTAATAATTGTAATATTAACTAAAAAATAGTAATCTTACCCACAAAATTTGCTAAACCTAACCCCAATTTGTGTTATCCTTTTTCAAAATAGTGGTAATCTTTTTTAAAAAAATTGTAATTTTTCACAAAAGTAGTAAAATTATCCCCATAAATTGCAAATAAATATTAACCAAAATGTGGTACACTTATCCTAAAAGTGGTAACCTTACTCACTAGATTTNTGGTAATCTTTTTTTAAAAAATTGTAATTTTACACAAAAGTAGTAAAATTATCCCCATAAATTGCAAATAAATATTAACCAAAATGTGGTACACTTATCCTAAAAGTGGTAACCTTACTCACTAGATTTGGTAAATTTTTCCAAAAAAATAAACATAACAATAAATTAATATTCGATCTCATGAATATAATAAAACACATTAGAAGTTGAATCTATCGACACTTATATTTCGTATGACTATGAAAAGTATACAAAATGAGATTTAATTTAATCAAATTAACATTCAATTATGAGATGTAAACAAAATATGTTTTGTAATCAAATTAACATTCAATTATGTGTTCTTCTATCTTTACCAAATAAGTGGTAAACATACCCCAAGTTATAATATTAACCAAAAATTAGTGACTTTGTTACCTTAATAATTGTAATATTAACCAAAAGAGTGATAATCTTACCCCAAATATGTGCTAAACTTATTACTCCCACTTTTAAAGAACGATAATGGAGAAAATGTTGAATGAACTTTAATTTTTTAATTCTGTGAAGTCAAAAAGTGGGAAGTTGAATATAGTAAAACACATAGGAAGTTGAATGTGATTCCCCACCCCCAAAACATACATCATCCAATTAATGGACATTCAGCTTCAACACATTCACTAAATTGCTATTTAAATTAATGGACTATAAGTATACAAAATGAGATTTAATTTCGAAATATTGAAATAATATTTATTTAAATTAAAACTAAATTTCTATTTAATTTAATATCAAATCAAGACTAATTTTAGATTATATTATATCCAACTAAAATTTAGTTATATTAAATAGAATACTAAATTTTTATTCATCTAACTTTTAAACTTTATTAAAGTCCATTTTGTATACAAAAATCCATAATAAATTAAAAAGTTATGTATGACATAATTTTTAAATTAACATGTTATGAACATAAGAATACAATGATTATAATATACTGCACATCTTTGAACATCAGACAAAATTTGCAATCCGCCCAAGATGTTCTAATTTTGACATAATAGTTGGAAAAAAAAAATTGTTTTTAAGTAGGTAATATAATTTTTGTGTAATAAATGGCATTTAATTGTGAAGTAAATGTAAAACCACTGTTCCAACTACTATGATTTTCTTAACACAATAACAAACTGAAGTCAATCACCAATTATAGCATGCGTTTCTTCATCACTCTTAAAATCTCCATTATTTCATCACCCATCTAACTTCAATCCAACATATTTAACGATCTTTTCTTGATCATCCATGCAATTAAGTGGAATGCAAGGTATTGAAAGATTCAAATCAAACAAGGTAAGTATTTAATGATCTTTTCTCCATAGATGTTTGTTATTAGTTGTGTTATGTCCACAACTCTTATCTTCTTATTTTGATAGGCAGAAATAGTAGTCATTTCTTCAACATGAGATTGTTAATTTTTTTTGCTTAGGTATAATCGAAACAAATGGAAAAAGGAAAGCAAGTTCTTATAGACTTAAATAGTGATATAGCAGATGACATATTGCATGATTTTGAAAATGATGAATATCAGCACATGGACTTCCATCAGAAAAGCAAGGATGAGTTAGCATCCAATGAAGCCATTGCAAGCAAGGACGAGTTAACATCAATTGAAGACATTGCAATGAGGGAAGATTTAACATCTACAGAAGTCCTTGCAATGACATTTATATCACATGAAAATGCCGGACAATTTTATAACACATACGGTAGATATGCGGGTTTTAGTGTTCGTAAGGATGACCTAAAGCATGACAAGAATAACATGCCAATTTCAAGACGGTGGGTTTGTTCCAGAAAAGGGTATCGGTCGGCAAAGAATGCAGAACGCGTAGAGCGATCAAGGGAATCTCGAGGGTTAACACGACTTGGATGCAAGACAACATTTCGAGTGAAGTTTGATAGGAAGACACCAAAATGGGTTGTAAGAGAGTTTGTAATGGACCACAACCATGAATTGGTTTCACAACGTGGTGTTCCATTTCTCCGATCACACAAGCGTGTCAAGAGCCCCAACAGAGCACAAGCTATATCATTGCATAACGTTGGTATGCGTACAAGTCATAATAGAGATTTCATGTTGCAACAATCTAAAGGATATCAAAATGTTGGGTTTACCACAAAGGATCTCTACAATGACATGACATCCTACCATAGAGAAGAGTTTGAGAGACGGTGATGCAGAGGGCGCATTAGCCTACTTGAGCGCGAAGGAAGAGTTGGACCCGCAATTCTATTTCAAGTATTCTGTCGTCGATGACAATTCGTTGAATTGCTTGTTTTGGGCTGATTCGACATCTCGACTAGATTACAAGTGCTTTGGTGAGGTGGTGATGTTTGATACTACATATCGAACGAATACCTATAAGAAGTCATTTGTGATATTTGTCAGTGTCAACCACCACAACACTACAACTATCTTTGGGTGCGCATTACTTTCAGACGAGACGATTGATACATATGTGTGGGTATTGAATACCTTTCTTCATGCAATGGAAAACAAGATGCCTGTATCTGTTATTATGGATGGAGATAAAGCAATGGCTGATGCAATTGAAAGAGTATTTCCTCAAGCGACGCATCGCTTATGTAGATGGCATTTGTCAAGAAATGCCTTCACAAATATATATGCTGAAAATTTTGTCAATGCATTTCAGAGGTGCATGTGTGCTCGATTCACTCCGGAAGAATTTGAAAATGAGTGGAAATCAATGGTCGAATCATTTGGACTGGAGAGAAAAAATTGGATAGCGAAAGTTTATGCAAAGCGATTCAAATGGTCCAAAGCGTACTTGCGAGGAAAATTTTTTGTCGGCTTAAAAAGCACGCAATGATCGGAGAGTATGAATGCCTACCTAAAACGCTTTCTAAAAACAAGTCAACANGCGTACTTGCGAGGAAAATTTTTTGTCGGCTTAAAAAGCACGCAATGATCGGAGAGTATGAATGCCTACCTAAAACGCTTTCTAAAAACAAGTCAACGATTATTCGAGTTTGTTAGGCATTATGACAGGGGCTTGGCAAGGATCAGGGAGTGTGAGGCCAATGATGACTTTGAGTCGGAACATTCGAGGCCAGTGATGCAACCTGCACTAAGATGCTTAGAGGAGCATGCTGCCGCTCTATATACCAGAAAGATTTTTTTCAAGGTCCGTGAAAAGATACGAGAAAAAACGGTATTTTTTGTAGTGGATAAGATCGAGATTGAAAGTCATCGGAGTTACTATTTGTCTCGATTCACAAAACCAGAATCACGGTGGATTGTGTGATATTATCCTCAAATTGATGCGTTTAAATGCAATTGCATGAAATTTGAGTCTTTTGGGATTCCATGCTCTCACATGATCGCAGTCATGAAGTATAAGCACATACAAGAGTTTCCTCANTGACAGCTCAGAATCAGCCCACACCACAGCTTTGCAGCATCAGAGGCTCTGCAGAAACAGCTCCAAGACTAGCCCAGCAATCAGCAACACTAGCTCAGTAACTCAGCAGCTCCAAGNCACATGATCGCAGTCATGAAGTATAAGCACATACAAGAGTTTCCTCATACCATTGTGATGGACAGGTGGATCATTAAAGCAAAATCTAGGTATAAATGTGCACATGAATGTGGTAACGTGCAGCCGAATGTGTCAATTCCTACACGTTATGCTAGACTTATGTCAATGTACAGCCGAATGTGTTATTACTGTTCATANACAATAGCTCAACAGCAACAGGATACCAACTCCAGTTCACTGCATACAACACCCCAACAAACACTTATTCAACCTTTATCATCAAATACCATAGAAGTCTTAGTGCACAAAATACGAGGACCTCGTTGATCTTGCAGCCTCTGCCTGACAGCACTGGAAGCTGGCCCCTTATAGAAAATTCAATAAACTGTATAATCCATGGTTCAAAGTAAACTGTATTTTCAGCCTGAAACTGTATAATCAGCNAAGTCCGTCATGAGTCACTTGGCAAACACGATGCAAATGTGACGATTACACAATTCGGTGTGAATGATCCAAAGATTGTGAAAACCAAAGGTAATCATAGTCATGCACAAAAGAATATTCCNTTCAATAAACTGGAAAATCAGCTTCTCTATCAACATGATCCAAAGTAAATTGTAATTTGCTCAACAAAGACTGAATTTGTTCCAAAAGACACAGCAAATGCTAAGCACAACCCATAAAGCCCTCAACAGTCCTGACTAAAAAAAATTACATAATTCCAAACAAAAACATTAATGACAATTTGTTCCTTGTTTCAGTCNTTGGATCACAGCCACCATAGGACATTCCTTTTTCACAACATAGTGGATCAGACCAACCACCCCACATGTCTTTTTCACAGCATGGTGGATCACAACAATGTATGCCATCATTGAAAGAGGATGACCGTTGCATTCCCTTTGTCAACGAGGGTATCCTCAACTATAGGTTCATATAATACTCTTTGAATGTTTATATTTTTTTTTCATATGTACTAATTCCTTGTTATTTTAGGATGGGATGTCAAGCTTTAATTCTATCATTCAATCACAGTACATCAACACTAGTTTCAATGGAGGTAATTACAAAAATTACAAATTTTATCCCACAAATTTTGTTTTTTCACCATTGTCATCTAACCATCAATTTATGCTATCACAGTGGGCACCAAGATCATGGAGCAAGATGGGTTGAAGAAATTT